AAAACATAAAGGTTTTATTGTATTGTACTTGGGTTTATATATATATATATATATATATATATTTATATATCAAATATATTATAGTTACTCATGAAAATTTCAAAACACATTTCATATGTCGCTCAATAAATTTGGTATTCTTTGATAACCACATAGAGTTATAATAAAGAAAATACTCAATACAAAAATAGACAGAAAGTAATCAAAGAAAATTATAAATTTTGATATGAGTAAGAACGAACTACAGCTGGATTTCAGAATATGGGTTGTTAATCGTTTTTATACATTCAAAATATAGAGAGAAAAGTGCCTATAATTACTTTAAAAAGACACACACACACATATATATATATATATATATATATATATATTTATTTGTTGAATAGAATTTAATTCAAAAATAATTTTTTAAATTTCCAGGAAAAAAAAAAAAAAATACAGCAAGTGTGGGTCAATTCCACCACTTTTGAGAAATTATCTCCTGATTCTGGTATACAAACAAATGTTTCAAAACAACTGATATCAATATTGCAAAATCCATCACTGGAACCCCTCCACCCCAACGGATGAAACGAAATGGATGTACATGTAACATATGAATCAATGAAAAATTCACTGGAAGGGGCAAGGTGTCATCCACGAGTGATCGAGAAGGGCCACGTCGGTCGCCCAGTCATTGTCACCTCCTATCCGAGCCCTTCCACATGGACTGTGCTGATGTGGTGATCCTTGTGTCTCCATTCACACTTGCACCTCCGCTTTGCTGACATGGACCAGTCACAATGCAGTAATTCTCCAGGTGGCAGAAGCGGGCCGTGAAGAGGAGGAACCGAGGAATCAATGGAACGCTGGATCCCCGTTCCCAATGAAGAGCACAGAACCTCGAACAACACATGTCACTGATTGGGAGCGTGTGCACGACGTTCCCAAAGAGCCGGTCAAAGTTGGCGAGGTAGGTACACGTAGGATTTTACAACGGGGTCCACGTAGGTCAATTAGAACGCCACGAAGCGTGTCTAGCTGGCGTTGGGGTTTGCCCACGGAATCGAGGATGTCGCACTTCCTTGAATGTGGGCAGTGGAGAATTCTTTTTCTTTTTTCTTTTCCTTTTTTCTGGAACTTTAAATCCTTATTTCTAGAAGGGGGGACTTTCTGTTGACAAAATGGGTCTTGCTTTATGGTGAACCAAAATATGCCATTTATGAAAAGCTTTAAATATGCTTATATATATATATATATATATATGTTACTTTAATCTATTTTTATTTTGTGTGTGTGCTGTTATTTTGAACCTGATATTATCAAAAATGATATTTAATTTTTCTCAAATTGTAACCACGTTTGACTCAAAGTAAATATCTTTTGCAAAGTACTTTTGAACCAATTTAATTTCATGCATCATTTTATTTATTTTTTTTACAGATATCGTAATTTTATGTATAAGTATATTTAAAAACTCCGGGAAACATTCTAAGTTTTAAACATAACATAACATATATTCATCTTTTGGTCATTAGAACCGATTTCTTTTTTGAATGTGATTATTTTGTTCTGTTTTGATATATTAGTCGAAAACTAATATACATATTATTATATACATCATCATACAAATTCTACATTGTAATTTCATTTTTTGAAATGTAGTCTAATTTTTTAACTTAATAGTAATACTCTTATTTTTTTATTATTGATATTATTATGTTCTGGGTTGACGTATGAAAAAATAATTCATAGAAATCATTACTGTGTCATAATTACGAAGTTACATTAATGTGTGTATTTTCAAATGAAGTTCAAAGTGTAATAAAATTGAATGGAACAGTTCATATCTAGCAACACAAAGTCCTTCACCATTTTCTTCCATTTTTTCAATATATGTTTGAATTTATTTCAAACTTCCATAATTCCAATTGTTAAATATATATATATATATATATATATACACATGAATACAAATGTTATCATTGGTCCTTTTTATGATTTTAATTATTTACTCCTATTCCTTCCCTTTATAATCTCAAAAATTATATTAAATTTATCTTAATTCCATATTTTATTTTTGAGTCTTTTTTCACCAAATTTTCTAAAACATATTCACAAATATATTATTATTTAAAAAAATAAATTAAAAGATAATAGATAATCCAAAATTGAGATCGTACTATTATGAGTACTAATAAAATTCAAGAAGACCTTGACTTCGCTTTTATTTATATTAACTAAAAGAAATTTTATGTAATTTTAATCTAAAAACTACAAAGCTAGCAAAACATGATCAAAATATAGAATGCTTCCTTAGTAGTCTTCTGTATATAAAAGATTTCTACAAAAATTTAAAATGATCACATGGCATATTGGAAGATATATATAAATCCAACATTTAAAAAAAACAAATTAGCATGGTTTATAATATTATTACCCTATTATATTTTTTCTTCTGTTTGTTTAGTTTTTTTATTTAAATAATCAAAATAGTTGAAATAATAAAATTTTCATATATATATATATATATATATGTATATATATACTAAATACAATTATCATAAAAAATTGGTTTTAAATTATTCTTCTGTGGACTTAAATCACAACATTTACATGTGAATTGAATTTAAATATATGTATTCAGAATTTATTTTTATTTCTAAGAAACATACATCCATGCATTTAGAAGTTTTTTTTTATAGAGTAGATGCACTTTCATCTTTATTTAAGTAAATACTTATTTTCATTGATATCTACAACATATTCATCAAATTATTAGTTTACTCTGGCTTGTTGTTTGTGTGTTTAACATTTGTAATTATAATAAATAGTTTAATTAGGATTATATTTTTGATGTTTTAACTTGGGCATTGTATGCTAAATAAATTATAAACTTTACATTATATATTTTAAATAGTAAATGTTTTCAGAAACTCATTCTCTCAAGTTTATAATTAGTGGTATAAGTATGAGTTATTATTTACATTATGATTATTAATTTTATTATATCAATATTACTATAATTAATAAACAGTATTATAAAAACATAATCACATCTAAAAACTAAATTATATATATATATATATATATGTGTGTGTGTGTGTGTGTATGTGTGTGTGGGGGGGGTGTGTTTGTGTGTGTTCTAATTAATAAATTTATAAATCCTGATTTTTTTATTTTCAATTTTAAAAAGATATGTTTATAAAAATCATAGGTAACACTTTATCTATTGATTTCTCAAGTACTAATTTAAGTTTTTTGTTGTCTATATGTTGGACACTTTTGTTAGAATAAAATAGATTAAATCTCAAATTTGTTTAATGCTATTGTTTAATTAGAAATAATTTAAAAGAATAATAAAGATTCTAGTCTACAAGTTAAATTAAAATAAATATTTGCAAGTTGGGTTATATAAGTGTATATATATATATATATATATACATACACATATAGTGAGATAAAATCTATTTATTTTAAAGATGCCTATGAAATTATATTTAGATTCTTTAATACAAAAAATTATTGAGTTATTATACACAAAATTACACACTGACAAAGAAACATGCACACAATAGAGATGTTTAATGAATGTTTGATCAAATTCACTTATAGTTGCAATGCATAGCTTGACAAAATGTATCAAACTTTCTGCTTTGAGAAGAGGAGGTTGCAGAAGGAAACAAAATTACAAAAAACAAATCTCAAAAAACAAATGTCAATGGATATTAAATTTTATGTTTTTATTGAAAATTTTGAAAAATATATTATTTTGAGTTTATGAAGCAACCGTTCCTTGATTCTTAAAGAAACATCACTGTTTTATAATTGTTAAAGTTTATAAGAAGCCATCAAAAAGGAATTTTCAAAAATCATAAAATGGTTTCAAAAAATCTCAATATAAAAAATGAGAAAATAAACATTTATTTCCACTTGATTTTTACTCTCCATAGATGGCAATTAAATTAATTCTTGATAAAAAAAAAAAGGCATGAAGATACAATAATGCAATTAGGTCAGATGAATACCTTGTATCATTATAAGACTTTAAAAGGCATTAGATACCCCTCCATATAAACATTTTCAAACAATTATCAATTTTAATCCATGTTTCGTCTGTCCATTTTCTTTCTCTATTTCCACTTGTTTATTAATAAGGTGTGGGTTGGTTTGTTTCCATTAAAGAGGGTATTAAATAATACTTATGATTTTAAGTTTGGTGACCCAATCATTCATGCATATTCATTTCCCATCTTTTTCATTCTTCTTATTTGTTAAAATTATTATTATCATTATTATCATCATCATATATTAATATGAATTTATGCCAAATCCACCACTTTCTATTGGAATTTAACACAGCTAGCCTCTAATTTAATTTACCCTAAAACACTAAAAACAACCGTAGAAGGAGACAAAGAAGAAAATATTAAAAAAATGAAAAGAATAAGGTTATTGTATTTGCAGTTGCATAGGGCCATTCCTAACAATGTCCAATGCCTTGCCTATTGGAAACCTTGGTCCTTACCCAAGATGTTGGTTATGGAAGCATTGTAAGTTTAAATAAATAAAAATAAAAATAAATATATGTACTATGCTTGGATGTTGATTATTCAAGTTGATGAATGGATTACAAATAAACAATAGTGCAATGTCTTGAAATGTGCAGATTTTGAACTCGTATTTTATGACTAAAAATTTACAAATTGATTTAACTTTTATGTAATTTTGATGTAATTGTTTAGTCATTTTTTCAAGGATTCACGAAAATAGTTCACATGATGCATCATTTTTACTGGGAAAATATGTAATTGTATTCTGCACAAGTTTGATCTGAATCCGAATGCATAAATTAATCAACTCACTTATCATTTACAAAATTCTTTAGAACTCATAGTTTCCATCTTTTCAAGAGATAGTACCCGAACCAATTTGAAGGAGTCAAGACTTTTTTTAAAACAAAACAACATGTTGTAAAAAAGAAGAAGAAAACATGTTTTTCTACCATCTGATGCTTCAGATTGAAGATTATAAACTTGGTTTGCTTGCACTTGCTTGTGCGCCAAATAACAACAAATTAATTCTAGAATTTAGCAAGAGATTACAATTGTATCTTATGCACTAAATAACAACAAATCAATTCTAAAATTTAACAAGGAATTACAATTGTTGTAATCTTATGTTTCATGATTGTGGTGGAAGTTGTAACAAAGATAGCAATGGATATTTGGAACTGTGAACAAAGTGCAAGGATGCAAAAATAGACTCAATTGCAAGCCAACATTGATGTTGTAAAGCACTATGGTTTCTAATTATATGATTATTTAGGAAGAAAAATTAACATAATAGTACAGAAAACATGCATAAAATAACTGTTTATAGAAATATAATAGTACAGAAAACATACCTGTCTTCTTAATTAATTGCAAACTACACCTTTGTCGAAAAAAATGGTCATTAAATTTCCCCAAAATATGGTCTCGTATTGCGCTTGGCACAGTAATAAAGAATAACCGAGATGACAAAATCCAGGTGACATACCGACGTGACCAAATCCAGGTGACCAAATCCAGGTGACACATCCACATGTCCAAATTCGCGTGATAGAATCCACATGCTGATGTTTAGTGGACACAGGAGTTGTCGGTGTGGGTGTTGGTACCGCCACCGACGCCGCAGACTGGCCGAGTCGACATGCGTTGTTGCAAGGGGGAAAGTTCGAAGTCGGGGATGGGGAGTCAGTAGCAGATGAAGACGTGGTGAGCCTGCGCCGGGGTGGAATAAAGGCACGGGTGCTGCCCGTACGGCTTCCTCGCCAGGCGTTGGCGGCACTCGTAGACCAAGCGGTGGTTGTCCAGCGGACCTTTGTGTTCGTCCACAATGTCGAGCAAGGTCTTGGTGAAAGCACCGTGGATCTCGTTTCTGTGCTCGGATGCGGTCTCGTCAGATTGGCACGCGGTGATCAGTATGCACCGATCGGGGCGTTTCGGGATGTGGCTTAGGTTCTCGGGAGTTGCATCTGTCAGGTCTCTTGTCGCAGTTTGTTGTTGGTAGTTGCTGTCTCTGAGGCTGGAGCTGTGCAGTTTTGCGCTGAGAAAGTCGATGCTCTTGGAGCTGATGCGTTTCAGAATTTCGCGTTTTGATCCTCCCTGTCGCGGTAACAACAATCAAGATCAGCGTTATGTCTTGTCAGTTTTCTGTACATTGGGGATGTGGATGAATTCAACCCAAGGTTTGCTGGTGCGGTGTGTAGGAACGGTCCTGAAGTATAACCAAGACAAACTCAACCTAATTGCGCAAGACAGAGAGGTGACAGCCCACAATACCTTGCTCCTAAGCCCGTTGAAGACAGTATGCACAATCTCCTTGCAGGTGACGCTTGACTTGTCACCGAACAAATCGTATAAATTTGCACAGATATTGCCAGGTTCTACTGTGTGCCCTGCGCGTGCACTCAGCATCTGAGTAACTGCATGAACAGGCATCGATCTCTTCGATGTATATTTACTTGTTGCAAGGTTAGCATCGTATCGTCCACTTGATTGACCTAAATTAGCGCCGCCATAAGGCCATGCTCCTGGTTGCACAGTTTCTAGGTTGCCGTTGTAACTACCCCTAAAACCTTCGTGACTGTTCCCAAAATTCGGAGCTGCATATCTGTCTTCTGGAGCATGCTTTGCCCAGGGAGGAGGATAAATTGCCATATCTCCATGGATGTTTTGGCCGATGTGTCTGTCATGGCCTGCGCCATAAGTTCCACCGAGATCACTTCCCCACCTCTGCATTGATGGGTGGGGCCCGAATGGGTTATCTGAGCTAGTGTAAGAAGTGTCTGTGTGAAGGTAGTTGTAAGCTGCAGGAGCACTGACCGTGTGGTGCAACGAAGGACGCTGCCATGGTGCGTCAGAGTTGGGATAATGGTGTGCTCCTGGTGGAGGTGGATAGCCGTAATTACTGCCCAGAAGAAACGATGACAACCTCAAAACAGAGTATAATTAGATATTCTAGACGAACATTGCAAAGAAATAGTCAGCTTTTCCATTCAATTTTTGGATACCCTGGCACCTCTGCAAGATGAAGGTTGAGAACTCTTACTGGCTTGGTGCAGCCGGTTGGCTGTTGTCGTAGGGAGAGCGGTTGTAGTTTTGGTGCTCGTATTGTCCTGCGAAGCCCGCACTCGGACCCCTGAATTCCATTGACATGGATCTGTGTCCACCATTGACCCTTAGCAAACGCTCTATGTTGTATGCTTTGGTTTTTGCTAAGATACTCTGTATTCTGTCCTTCTTAAGTTGCTTGTCTTGATGCAGAGAGCGAGTGGCGACAAAGAGTCCCCTTTGGTTATCAGTAGCATTCATTTCTTCTGCTCCCACCATACTTTCCAGCACATCCGACATATCCATATTTTGTCCTTGCTGTGAAGATATATATAGTGCCACAAGATCCAACAAACTCACTTCCTGCGGAACAGATTGATTTGTTTGCATTACAGCGAGTATTTCCAAAAGAGACACACTCTGATCTGCAGAGGGAGTGGATCCTAGCATAGTTGCCAGAATTTGCATCATCATCTCCTCATCAATGACGATCTCTATTGAGTTAGGAGCTTCTTCTTCTTCTTTTTGCTGCGGTCCGAGTGTGCTCAAGATCGAAACAGGTTTAGTATGAACAGAGCCGACTTGCTGTTCACAATGAGCTATTAGGCCTCCACTGTGGCAACAGTCTGCAATGAAGGTGAAGAACACTCCATCCGGGATTTTGTCCACGAGAATGCGGAAGTCATCATCTGTGTTTAGCACGCAATTCGGGCGAGTCAGATGAATTCAGCAGGCTCGACCCGCTCAGCCACTTGAAACATTGCCTACAGAAATGTCACCGAGAGAAGATCACCAACCTGTTATCATATTCGCATCCACAGGCACTACGGCCTCCTTCATGCCCGTTTCATCCGGCTCTCCTTCCGGAGGCATCTGCGCAGAGTTGGAATTGCGAATGTCAATTCCAACCATAGCCCCCATTACGCGCACCAAGTCCTCACAATGCTCAACTCAATCAACCAAAAAGCCGAGCACATTCACGAAGAGACGAAGGGTTCTACTTACTTGCAAACCATGCCCACTGAAATGGAAGACAATACAATCGCCCCACTTCAAATCCCGCGTTAGTTCTTCCAGCTTCCGTCGGATGATTTCTCCCGTCGGCATCAAATCGGGACTGGTCCCCGGCCGGTCCACGAGCGTGCAAATGCTCTCCTTCGGGAAGCCATACCGACTCACCAAACACTCCCCCATGCGCTCCACATCCTTCCAGCAACCCCGAAGAGCATGGTGCGGTTGACCTTCGTAGTTGATTCCAACCAAGAGCGCTTTCTTCGTCGGCATGGAGCCTCGATCCCTCTCAAAACTACTCCCAAACCAATCTCACTCTCACACCCGTAGATAGATAGATAGATAGATAGATAGACAGACAGATAACCCTCCTCTTCACAGATTAATGTCTTCACTAACTCGCTTTCAGCAATCACTCAACCCTCGTGTGTGCGCCGTGCCTCCCTCAAACTCCTCCCCCTCCCTAGTGCGGCTTAAACCTCACTCAAGCGGTATTTTCCAGAGCTTGAAAACGACACAAAGAGACACCACTGAACATGCCGACTGACTGAGAGACCCATTCCCTTGCTAGTGGCCAAGTAGACGATGGGTGCAGTGCCATTTGAGGATGCGACCAGGGCCCGATTTAACATCTGGGCCGGGAATCCCTCCATCCATCACACCTTCTGACTACCGCACTCTTACCGACTGCGGCCCCGTCTCGCTGTTGTTGTTGACATTGCGGAGGAGGAGGGAACGCAAAGTCCACGGAAGATGGCGTTGATTGATTGCTCACGTCTAACGCCGCGGCCCCTTCTTCGCTGCTGCTTCGCTTTGCCCGCATGTGGTACTTGTGGAAACTTGTGCCATGAAAAGCGCTATCAATATTAATATAAAAATATATGAATTATATATTTTTATATAATCCATACACACACACACACACACACACATATATATATATATATATGTACATACTTAGGATTTAAATATATGTATGATGATTTTATTTTTTATGTTATTTTAAGTTATTTTTTTGAACTTATTATTATATTAGAGTATTAGATTTATTATTTTTATTGATATATTTTAAATTTTATCTAAGATGAATAAGTTTAATATAAATTTAAAATATACAGTAAGATAGAGCCACATAAAATTAGTTATAGATAGGCATTGAAGTCTATATATATATATATATATATATATTCAATCTTAATAAACTAATTAACATTCAAAATGTAAGTTTTATTACAAATTTTTATTGTTTTAATTTATGAAATAAAGAACAAAAAGTAAATCACTATATATATATACATATAGAATAGTATTTTTTCTCTAATAGTTTCTAATTAATAGACTTATTTCAATAATATTATTTATAAGCTTCATTATAAAAACTTAAGATTAACTTCAAAGATCTTAATTATAAAAAATATATTGATTATAAATTTATTCTATGATTATGAAAGATGATTTGGTGCAGATTGAAACAAAAGTATAGCAAATAATGCTTTTAAATCTTCTAATTATTAGTTACATCTAAAAAAACTTAGAAAAAGCTTCAAATAACTAATTTCTTCTACAATCATGCAAATATTTTGATCCAAATGAGTATAAGATTTCTAAAAACTGACAATTAGAAAATGAAAGTTTTTTTTTTTTTTTTTTTTTTTTTTTTTTTTTCCTAAAAATGTGATGTAATTGTATGTTTTTGTTGAAAGAAAATTTTCCATCATCAATTTTTGATGTTGTTGTATTATTTGAAATAATTAATAGTTAAAATAATCATGTTAAATAAGAATGTTGAAAAGAGCTACTTCCACCTTAAATCTAAATATCTAAAGAATATTGAAAAGCTTTTCATCTTTTATCATATAGGATTGCAAATGAAATATTTATCTTCTAATTATTAAATCACAAACTTGACCTCAAAGCACTCTAAAATAAAATAAAAAATCTAAACAAAATTAGAACCATGATAACTCCAACTTAAACTACTCAAAAATGACTAATACACAAGTTTTAAAATATTTGTTTATAGGTATCAACAAACTTAGAAAAAATTATAGATTTTAAACCAAAATCTAATAAAATTACCATTTAAATGCGAGTACAACAACAGAGACTTTTTTTTTGGAATGATGGTTAGGATAAGTAAGTAAATTTAGTAAATACATGGGTCAATTTAATAATCCCCTTGATAAATAAATATGACGAACGCGGACATTCATCCATAAACGAAACGACGTCACAGAGCTCCACAGAAGCGAGTCGCCAGCGTGGCGACACGTCACATCCGTAACCAGGGATGAAGCCTCAGCCGCCCCAAAGGTCCCTTAAAAAAACTCGTGGGGACGAGAGGGATTTGACAACGCGACCCTTTATTAGTGCCACATCATCATTTTCGTCGAGCTCCGTCTATATTTGGCCGATTCGTCCTCCTGATCCGAGAAACTGTCAACGCTCGGTGAAGCTCGCAGCTCCTTTTTCACGGCACTGCCATGGAAAAACTGAGATTTCGTCGCTCTACTTGCGATAATGGCTTTCTCGCTTAACTGCAACTCTCTCGACCTAAAGTGGAAACGGCGCATTGATAGAGGCTCCGAAGAGATTTCTGAGCTTGGTGGTGTTACTGACATCGATCAGAGCTACTGGTGGAGAATTGTTTCCTGCAGCACTGGGCCGGGAGCTGTCTCGGCGTGCATACTTAAGCGCACAAATGTGTCGTTTCGCTGGAGAGGGGGGGATGTCGTAAGAGTTTTCTAGAAAAAGTAGAAAAAAGAAGCATTGTGCGATCGGAGGGAGAGACCTAAAAAAATACATACATACGCCGTCTCGACGTTTTCTGCAACGCTCTGCGTGGACTGTGAGCTCACATTGTGTGGCTGGAAGCCGTGTTGCTGAGTTGTCGCTGTTGAGGTGGATAGTCTTGTCGTTAGCTTCGATTGTAGTTTGATGTGAGACCTGGGATAACGGTGCTCTCTACGAGTGTGGTCGTCTGGTCATGGTCGATGGCGAATGCTCCGTTGAGTGGACTTGGAGCTGGACCCAATCTTTTGTGACTCAGGAATAGTTTTTGCGCTCGGGACTGTGGCTCTAAACGTTGGGATTGCTCACTTCGTTTCCCTCCTTTCGTTGCGTTGCGAAGCTTTGATTGAACCTCTTTGGAGCGATGGCGGAGTGTGTTGCCACTCCGCATTCCGTTGTTAGTAGGAGCATTCACCCTTGCGTCAGTGCTGCACACTCACGTAATCTTCGCAATCGACCAGATGGTCTCGCATTTAATCCTTTGAAGTGTTGTCGAAGGAACACTGGATCACTTACGGCTGAAATTAGTTTCAGAACGCAGGAATCGCTTAGGTGTGAGAGGAGGCCAGGTGCTCCCGTGCGCGTATCTCCCACAGGAAACTCTTCGCAAGAACCAATTCAACTCTCTGCAGAAGCAGAAGAGGGATATGAAAATGTCCCCGCTGGAGAGCATTCGGTATCATCTATAGATTTTGCGTCCTCGCTCGTAACTGCCGTTGGCTCTGATGCTTCGAGCGAAACCGAATTGTCAGGAAAGAAGAGAAGGAACAGGAAAGGAGAACGAAAGGTATACTTAATGGCGGCCGTTGCCTCCAGCGTAGGTTTCATCACCTTATCCGCTGGTGCTGTATACTATCGATTCTATTGGCAATTACAGGTTCTTACCTGTCTGAATTCCTCTCTTTCAATTTTTCCATGCAGTTCCCTGCGAAACGATATACATATTTTTTTATTTTATTTTATTTTATTTGATGGGGGGGGGGTAGGCCAGTGGCGAAAGCAGTCGAAAGTGTTGTCTAATTTTTGGTGCAACCAGAGACATTTGCATTACAAGTGAGAGCGCAGGATTTGTAGACTGCGTTTAGCCTTGGAGATTGATCCTGACCATCTGTCACTGTGTTCTTTTGGGTCTATTGCAATGTCATTGCATCTTAATGGGATGGGATACGAGTCAAAAAGTTTACTCACATCCAACATTCCACAGGGTTCAGGAGAAGTGCCCTACTCGGAAATGACTGGGACATTCTCGTTAGCCATCGGTGCCGCGGTAAGTCCGAGCATGGTGGTATGAAATTCAATGTAGTCAACATCTGCCAGTATTGACTTCCACTCCTACTATCGTTTAGCTTCACAGCAATATGGTTATGCTCATTACTCCTGCGTAAAATAACGTGCACCAAAACATTTGCGTCTGATAATTCCCTCATTCACTGACAGTAACAATCTCTGCTCTTCTTCAGGTGGGCATGGAATATTGGGCGCGGTGGGCTCATAAAGCTCTCTGGCACGACTCGCTTTGGAACATGCACGAGGTGAGCGCGTGACTTCGCACTTGAATTTAACACGATAAAGATTAACCTGTCACAAATACGTGTTCTCCAAGTATTTACACTGAGCTTGTAGTCTTGGCGGTTTCCAGTCGCATCACAGACCACGAGAAGGACCCTTTGAGATGAACGACGTATTCGCGATCATCAATGCCATTCCAGCGATATCTCTAATCGCATATGGGTTTTTCCATAAAGGCCTAGTGCCTGGCCTCTGCTTTGGAGCAGTAAGTAACTGAAAACTCCCAGAACTACTGAGATGATTGACTGTGTTGTCAAAGATAAAGATCCGATCCCCATTTTATGTGTGCCCAGGGCTCTTGAAGAGCTTCTTGCCAACTCCAGTGCATTGTTGCCTCATCTGACTTTGCGAGAATGCTTCGATGAGCCAGTTGACGTGACACAAGTTTTGGTGTCCCGTGCAGGGTCTCGGGATTACAATGTTTGGTATGGCATACATGTTTGTCCACGATGGACTTGTACACAGAAGATTTCCTGTGGGCCCTGTCGCAGACGTTCCTTACCTTCAAAAAGTAGCAGCTGCACATCAGGTACTCATTGATAACTCATAAATATTCAACTACCCATCTTACCCATTTGTCCATCAGTTTGACGTGCACGTCTTTGTACCAGTTAGCAGCCCACTTCTCTTTAGGGTTTCATGCGCCATCTCCACGTTTTGCCTGTGTTTTTTTTTTGCAGCTTCACCATGCTGATCTCTTCGAGGGTGTACCATTCGGACTTTTCCTCGGCCCTCAGGTGATTGCACTTTCTGCAGTCCATCTGTAACTGCGTGTAGTTCACGATGGAGTTTATCTTATTATTCTTATTGTTAACATTACCATTATTTTCTTTCTTTTTTGGTGTCCTCAAGAGGTTTGCATCTTTAGATCATTTCTTCTATACTAACATTAGGGTTACTGCTGCTGTGAATCCAGGAGCTCGAGAACGTAGGAGGTGAGGAAGAGCTCCAGACGTTATTGGACTCCAAGTGCAAAGCCCGGAAAGAATGATCAACATCGACTAGTCACTGTATAGACACATTTTGGCACTATTCTTCATGGTTTTTCAATTCACTTATTCGTAAACCCTAAACCCTAAACACAAGCATGTGGGTAGTGCACTAATTGGTGCTGTGCACCCACCAAAGCGTTTTGTATTAGAGGTAGAGCTGAGATTATGCTGGCACTAATTCTACCTTCACGGCATGATTTGGATTAATTAATGGTAGAGAAATGGTGTGTATCCACACGTTGTACAATATGTGATTCCAACACTGCTTGTTGGTAGCAAACCATATGTAATAGCTAAGTCACTTTCTATTGCGTTCAATGTTTATTGATTATGCACTCTAGGTCCAAAAGCTTTTAACCAAAAACATGTTTTTCATGTTTTTTATTTTTATTTTTTATTATTACTACTCCTTTTCGTTTTTGTTTTATGAAGAAGCAACTAGTGGTGGTAACACTTCAAGTAAACAGGTACAGTTGGGAGCAAAAAAAGATTAGAAAACCTTACAATGAAATGTTAGGATATAGATTGAAATGAAGTGGTGGAATGAATGTAATTTTTGTATGCTTAAGTGTAGATGTGGCATTAGATACCTTTGATAATTAGTTTTGCAGTTTTTAGTTTACCCTCAAGTATGTTAATAGAATGAAAGAGAGTATTAATGGTGAGTGGTGTTTTTGTGTAAAACAACACTAAGATTACATTTAATATATGGTGTAGAATCATAGATAAATAAATAAATAAATAAAGGTAGATTTCATAAGTATTCTTTACGATTTGTTTATTTGTTTATTGGATTTTATTGAGAAAAGATATACATGATAATTTGTACTTTTACATTTAGTTATAATGTGACACCAATGAGAACAAGGAGAATGTCAAGTGACATTTTGGACTTTTAGAGCCTCAGTATTGAAGAATGTAAAACAAAACAGAATTGTAAAGTAATCAAAAAATTAAAGTCTTAACTAACTCATTGTACAAAAACTATCATATATAAGTGCGTGTAATTTTGGCATGTTTAATGAAAAAAATACAATTTTACAAAAAAGTCTGGTAAACAATTTCATAGTAACTCATATAGAACAATTTAATTTTAAACTTATAAGGAAATCACTTAATATATATATATATATATATATTTACATGGTGTGTTATTATGTTTTGACAACAGAATATCATTAATAAAGTACAATCACCACTTAAGAATTTTTCAATAATCATTCATGAGAACACCACATCAATAAATAAATAAATAAATTTCAAATAAAAATTACTTTGAAGTTCTCTCAGATTTTAATTATATTTTCTTCAATTTAACATTATGATGAAGAACTTGAATACTTCTATTTTGAATATAATCTGGTGCTGTAAAACAAAAATTATATTTATGTATTAAATAATTAATAAAAACATTGATAATACCTTGCATATAATATAATAAAATAAATTAGAATTCCCAAAATAATTAGATTTAAAACATCAAAATTTTAAAATTCAAAAAGATTATTAACATTTATAAAGGTCATATGAAGAATTTTTAAGAGACTTAGAATAATTATAAAGTTTTTATTAAATCAATCTTTCCTTGATAAAGAATATGGTAATCATGATGAATGTGGTTAGGATGAGTATGTTAATTTAGTAAAAGCATAGGTCTATTTAACATTCATCTAAATGTGTGTGTATATACCTATCTATTAGGATCATGTCAAGATTTTTAAAAGTTTTATTTTAAAAATAAAAATGTATAGAAATGAAGATTATGGATCTTTTTCAACCAAGTGATATTTATGAGAAACTAAAAATGTGAAAAATCTTCTTTAAATTTTCACAAATTATCTCTAACTTGCTTAATTTTTTTTAATTTTGACATTTAAGTACCACAATGCATTCAAATAAAGCTTTTATATCTTCATACTTTGATTTAAACTCTTATTTGAGAGTTATATTTTTTAGGTCTTCATAATTTTAATTGTTTAACTATTAAAAGTATGAAGACCTAAACTTGCATTGTCTAAACATCTTCAAACCTTCTTTTGCACATTGATTCCCCTTTTCATGTGCCCTTTTAATTATTTTAATTAGGAGAATGTTAAATAGACCTAGATTTTTATTAAATTGCCCCACCCATCATGAAAAAAAGAAAAGAGAAAAGACCTCTAGATTCATTTCTCCACTACTAGATCCAAAATCAATAAAAACCAACCCTTATTTATCATGATTATCATACTCTTCATCATAACTAGGTCAATGTAGTAAAAACCTGAGTCTATGTAATATTCCCCTTTAATTATCATAGAAAAAGGAGCTAAGCACGTAGAAGGTTGTGAGTCATGTTTTTTTCTTTGCTTCAAACTATGACCAGAAATGCGCGGAACTCAGCAACTCCTCTATGAAGAATTTAAGTTTAGGGTTTAGGATTCACCCATGTAACCCTAACCTAACCCTAAATCCTGTAACCCAAAAACACCTGTAGATGATGCAAACAAGACTGTTAGGCACAATGTTTTCCTGGTGATCGTTGAGGTCATGTTTTCTCTTCTACACATGTTCCACTTTGAATAATTGCATAATTGTGCATTTTGGGTTGGATAATAGTGTTGCTATCTAAATTTGTGAGGTGTTAATGACGTATTATGTGTGGAGATGTTGCCTATTGTGACGACTGACAGTAGTTTCGTCAATGCGTTGTTCGTTTTCCGTGGTCCCTAACTCCTCTCCTTGTTCACACCTCTTGTCATTCACTCATGTAAACCGTACTGTGTTTACACGCTTGATGACTAAGATGAACAGATGTGGATTTTTGTTCACATTTTTGTTCGTAATACACTTAATTGTTGGAACCATCGCCACTGTTTCGTAAGTTCAACAAGCTGCAACATAATCAGAACTTGCATCTCGAATGTGATTAGAAAATTTTGTAATGCTCAAGTACAGATGATGACAATGATCCTATTGCGGGGGTTTAATTATTTATTTTTTTGCTCAAATTTTCATTCGGATCATAATGCAGTAATGTTCTCTCCTCACGCAAACATTTCGATCTTCTCGGCAAGGTTTGCATAAACCAAAAATTGATGTAAAACATCGTGCCGGGTGTGGGATGTACGCAAGATCGTTAAACTGTCTTCAACCTGTTTTTAATGCCGATATTCGACAAGTTCTTAAACATACTTTGGACATTGGTGATAGTGTTCGGAGGGCAGTCTATTAGACCCTTGTAAGCAAGTTTCGTATCGAGAAAAATGCCGAAGTTAAACGGGTTTTCTCTTTTATTGTGACGCTAGTGGGTCATTAGAATATGGGAAAATATCATTTGTACCCCTGAAATATGTTGAAATATTAGCAAATCTACTCCTAATATTATTGATAATATGAAATGTACCCATGATCTTGATATCTTATCATAATTTTTATTTTTTAAGTGGAACTGGGACCCAACTTGATTGCAGCAGAGAAATCCGCTGGCCCTCTTTCGCAGTTTTTCGGCACAGTTGGCCTCATCGTGTCGCGTAACGGAAACCGAATGGAGTGGTGCCTAAGGTGGAGCAGCGAGTTCCTTAAAATTCCAGAAACATTGAAGCGAGTCGATCTGGTGCTCATGGATCAAAGCCAGGAGACCTCAGGCGGTGTTATTTTTGAAGGCATTGTGCCGACGGAGAACGGAGTAACGAAGAAGAAGAAGAGGACTTCAAAGTTCCTCATTAAGCAGTTCGGAATTATTCATAAACCTGCCGATGGAAGCCCCTGGCAGAACCTTGAACTTATAGGCAAAGACTATGTATTCATCGTTTCGGAGCCCAGAACCGTGTCTAACTCTTACGTTTCAGTGTAATCAGACGCAAATTTTGAGGATGCTGCTGATCAGGATGGAATCGGGCTGGGATCGGAATTCACAAAACCTTTTGTTGACTCCGTAGTTGCTCTCGCAGACTCTGCTGTAGGAAAACATCTGAATTTGGCTAAAGCGACGCCCATAGATTACAGATTTGAAATTCGGGGGTATGTGGAGAAACATCGCTAGAACGTGGCGAAGCTGGCCATCGAGTTTGTGACCCCCCCCCCCTGTGGATTTCAGGCAAGAAAAACATGGGGTTGTAGGAGGAGAGGTGCCTGTAGATTCTGAAACGAAGTGCTCACCGAGGAATTCATTGCGAGTAGGACTGCATTCAATCTCAAGTAATTATTCTTCGTCTTGAGTATCAAAATGCAATGAACAAGCAGATGAAGATAACCCAAAATTAATGTAGGAATTGAACTTTTGAAGTTTATTTCGCCACCATAGGCCTTGGTAGCAAGCAAACCCGAGACTAGATTGAGAATCTTGAGAAGTATACAAGGCGTCTAAGTTGAACGATCAGATGTATAGAATAACACTGAGCTTGGTGGTGTACAGACGATTACATCCGCTGATTCGCTTACTGCTCAAACAACAATTTTCTTGCGTGTGATTGACTCGCATTTGGAACACTTTCAATCCGCAGCGCACAGTTCAATCTTTACAAAACACATATAACGATGATCTAAGTGCAAAGATTCCTCAAAGTCTCCATAATTCGAGATAGTCAACTGGACATCGCTAAATTCAAACTTGTCAACAGCCACTCGTCACTATCATCACATCAGGAGTTTTTGAAACCCAAAAATCCTTGACGCACGGCAATCTCTACTACACACAGTGCTTTCTGTGATCGTAAACATTTACAAAAATGTGAATCTAGCAGCAAGACACTCTTCAACCAGAAACCCCATCACCATTAACTTGTCCAGTTGTATCTACATTGCATCATAATAACACAAGTGGAACTACTTGGAAAACGTTGTGTGGGGACTGCACTGCATTATTGGGTCCTGCCCGATTGAGGTGCGTGATCAGATTCCGCCCACAGTTTATTGTTGAGTTATTGATATGCTCCGCGTGTGGGCGCGCAAAAGTTGTGGATGCGTCGCAGCATCGTTTCAAGTTAGCATCCCATTTGGCCGTCCATGTTAGCCACTTTTATATCCCGCGGACTCCTTGAATCTATTTTATTTCATGGTAGACTTTCGAAGCTCTTCAAACATGAAGAAATCTCCAAGCAAATTGCAACAAATTAGTTTGTTATGTACATCTCGTGAACAGGACGTGTTTGTGAGGTCGCACTTTTGAATCACCAGGGTACGCAAGTCTTATTCTACGGTAGTATGCAAGTGTTACCGCCATGACCACGTTTCGAAGATTCTTTTGCTTTTATGCTCTGAAAATCCAATATCATTCTTAAAGGAGTGGAACAAGTTACATGATACCTTAAATCTCAAGTCATGGAATCCCAAGAACGAATAGCTCCTG